AGTATTAACATCTCCATCAAACTAAGCGAATGCATTGCTTGTGTATCAGCCACTGGAAAGGAGACTCTGGAGAACTCTGACTGGAAATGCAGTTTTTTATTACATATCTACCGTAGAATCGATAAGGTTTTATTTAAACGTCGAATATTAGGTTCTTAATCGAACCAAAACGTTATCTTTTCGTTTCTTTTAATATTCTAAGAGACTAAATAGTATCTTCTCTATTAATTACACATTGTAGCACGTTAAATTTAACACAGTGGGTTATTTAGGTAGAAAGAACCAAACACAGACAAAACAACTTAATAATATGTATACAGTGCAACGTAACACAACGCAGCAAAACTCTGAAATACGTGTAGCAGCAGAATTAAACGCAATGTTCATTAGCACACCTGGGTTATTCTACAGAACTGCAGTGACACACGAAGAAATTTTATTTCTTTCAGTGACATTAAACATTTAGTGCAGTATACAATGCGTTCTTACCCGAGTTCTCCAGAGTGGCATGAACTTTGGTTGTTTCTTGTTCGTGTGCCCTCTGTTTTTAATGGAGATGTCCCCGAGACGGATGCAGACACAGCGAAATGCCGCAGTGAGAACAGTGGGCGGTGTGCATCCAACTCTCACCCCACATCAGGTTATTGTGTGTGTGTGTGTGTCTTATTGAGTGCCCCCCGCCAGGCCACAACGTGCCCCAGACTGATGGAAACAGCACGGAAGGCGAGAGCGCCAGCGGTACCACTGGACGGACGACGCAGGTTGGATGCTACCGCAACTTCGACCACTTGCCTAGCCGACATCGCCGAAGCAACTCTTCCCAACCTGCACCGAGTCTTCCTATAGCAACTGGGCCTGATGGAGGCTTGAGCAGTCCACCTCCACCGCCCCAGATGCAACAGCAGCAGCAACTTCTGCTCGACCTGCCCCTGGTGACGCAACTCGGCGACGAATCACCAGAGGCCCAGACCGACGAGCACCAGCCACTCACGCGCTCTCCAGAGGGCTACACCTCTCCGGTAAGCCGCCTTGGTAGTACGTCTCAGTTGCAAGAGGGTAAGGGATGTATTTCTGAGTTGTAACTCCGTGATGATGGCAGTATATTTGTACGAAACGTTGGTATCTATCTACAGGTTTGCACGACGTTACAACTTAGAAGACCAACATCGATGAAGTGGAGTATTCTCTAGGTGATACCAATTACACCCTGTATTGAATGGTTAAATCCGTTGAGATTCTTATCGTTGCTTGAGGATGAAATATCTGACAGGATGTTAATGCCAATTTAATATACTAGTAGGAACATAGAACCGATTTTTGGGTATAAACTCTGATCTACCGTTTGTTACAAATAAGATTCACGATCCATTCAATAACAATATTTAAAAATCTCACGTGTTTCAGAAAAAGATAAAAGACGAGAAATACTAACGATATATGATTTGAGATTCGATATTGACACTACAATTGATTCGCTGTGAACGACACTAAAATATTCCAAACGCTAAATATTATTTTCCTTAAACTGTTTTTGCAGTTTCGGGTTGTAATTTCCACCATGATTCGGCCAACTTTTTCAAAATGCGGCCGCAGACATTAGTCAACAAATCTTTGTTATATATCAATCGGAAAAACTTCGTATAATGAACAATCCAACTTCTCAGTGGAAGGCTCCTGTTTCATATTCTGATTTATTGCGAGTGTAGCGAGAAGTAATAGAAATTGTTCAGTCTGAGGAAAGGAATTATTAAGCACAATATTTTTATCGGTAAGGGTTGCAGGAACATTCATGTCTCTTCGTATTTGGTGTCCGTGAAATTTATTCAAATATTGCATGTAATTAAATTTAATGCACTTTCATGGTTAAGTTGCTAATTCTCAGCTTATTCTATTAATTACACTCGCAATCATCTGATCACATCACACTAATACCATTTTATGTTAGCTTGTCTCTTATTGGTGTTCACGAAGTCTATCAGAAATGCAAGGCCACGGAGTGTCTGAAAGCAAGTATTTCTTAACTGCGGTACAATTAATGTTAACTTTGCTTATTGAAATGCCATGCCGCGATGTGACTGGCTATTCCACACATCTTGCTTTCTTTCTGTTACTTCCTCAAGCTTTTTGCAGTACATATCTTGAGCATGGACTCCTCATTGCTGCCTTAACTATGTGTTGGCTAGTAAGAACAGCATGAAGAAGGATCCAGAAGTTGGATTTCAGGTTTTCACGGCGGTGAGTTCGATGGCTGTCTTCTGGTATATAGCGCCGTGTAGTCTGGTAGATGTTTACCGACACTTCAGAGGCCCTCCGTCCTCAGGGAATCGCCCTGATGATGGAGGCAGCAAGGATCTCTGAAACGCTGTAAATTTCTACCAGACCATACGGAGCTACAACCTAGAAGACAACCATCTTAAGCCAGAGGTTAATTGCAGTTAGCCTGTTAGTATTTATTTTTAAACTATTAACGCTTATGTTGTGTGCATATATTTACTTCATACTAAATTTCAGTTTAATTAAAATTAGCTGTCTCCGTTCTTTTAAAATATTTCATACGACTTTGTGCTTTTAAATGAACTTTATTAATATAGCATGTATTTTTGTAGCACTCCATAAAAATATGTAACACGTACGTTTTCAGAAGTTTTTATTTACGCCCTTTGTTCCACAAGATTTTATGCTCAATTTTTTTGTTTGTTGAAGAAGCTTTTAATTTCTCGCAGTCGCTGCCAAAATGATGTATATATTTGTGATTATTTTCAACTTACGTATTTGTGAAATAACATTGTTGCTCCAGACCTGCTTTTGTTCATATTCTGTTTTATGTCAATTATCATTATCTTTGTACTTGTGCATCCATATTTTTCACTTAAAATATATAATTTCCTTTCAATTTAACCTCTTTTTTTTGTTACATAATTACTCATTGTACACTTCGGTAAAAAGTTCAAGACACTCTGACACTGACATAATATTTTCTCATAAGTCGATTTTACAATTACAAATCTAAATTCTGCATTCTTGGCGGCAGTGTTCGTATTTATGACGTATTATTTTGATACGAGATTTCCTGGCTGTTGTACTGTAAATAAAGCTGCAATCTTCGTTTATTACCCGGGTCTCGTGCTGGTTCAAGTGTATACTGTCTTTCCTCCATGAAATGCGAAAGTTTAGTTACGAAATAATGTTTAGCAGAGTTAGTATTTTATATTTTTTCCAATGAAACTATTCATCAAAATGCTCGATCCACATCCACCACTGAGTGCATGGGTGGCGAAGGCAGTTCTGAGGTACAAGTTTATTTGGTTTTACTTCTGGGATCTGGGATTTCATTCGGCGTTTCACTTTACGGGTGCGTCTTTCATGTTTCATCCGTCTCAACAAGGAGTTTTCCTTTCTGAAGCCATATAAAGCAAATGCGTACGTAATCCCACTGAGTCGTCTGTTGGAATCGGCTAGTGGATTCAATACGTCGCGTTGCTACTGTCTTCAGGCGATCTCCGAATGTTTATTTGACGAGAAACCAATGTTTTTTTATTAGAATTGTTTGTAAAAGTGACCGAAACTGGTCGGCTGCCCTAAGATAAAGGACAGGAAGCAATATTTTGCTCAAGACACAAAGAAAAAGATTTGTCTGTGCTTTCTATCTGCCATAAACACGCTTATCACACATGCTTATGTTACAGTTATGTATTATAAAACGTAACTTTCAAATCATGTGTATTTTGTGTGATTTTAACCGATTAACGTTGCCCATTTTTTCTTGAGCATGTAATTCACTTGCTTTGGATTTACTTAACATTATAAAATTCAAACTAGAAGTGTTCTTCTTGTAACAGCTTTCATTTAACGCAGCGCATGAACAACGCTTCCATTGTCCCTGTCTTCAGGAACACGCGAGTTAAAGTAATGAGATGTTAGAGATGTTGATACAGATATTTCAGATGGCGGAATTCATGTTATTTCCTTAATGAAATCTAAGGAAATTATTCTATCTTTATTATGAATGCTGTTAGAATTTTGTGGTTATGTACACTTTTCAGATTGAGAATATACCACCTTTTTTATGACATGTATATTTAAGAAAATTTGAAGAAAGTTTAATATTGCAACAAAATTCGTAAGGAAAAGTGAACTCGGAGTCAACAGTGAAATGGTTATATTGTAAATTGGGGTAAGAATTGAGCAATCATCTGAGATCTGAAGCATAAGCGAGATAAGTATCTGAAATAGATAAATAGAAGATCATAAAAAAATTTCAGCCGAAGTGACACTTGTCATGTCTTATTTGAGCTGGTTTCCAAGAATCTGCCTTTTAGTATTGTCATCTGTGCGGACACTGTTACAGTTATATCTAACCAATGACGTCGACATGCCAGTCAGTGTTATTTATTTGCACTCTACCTAGGTTACAGTGGCTGCATTTACCCTCTCACGCATTCACGTTATGTATCTGTTAATATAAGAGAGTTGAAGCCAGTCTCTGAATTGAGGTAATGGGTAACACTGCAGTAGGCAGAATGACAGGTGGAGGGCTTTGGTTAGCTCGGTGATGAACATTCGGGTTCCCTAAGCCATCTAGTTAGTTAGGCGGAATGACCGCGTCTTTGTTGAAGCAGTTTTTTTCAACTGTGGCTTTCGAGAAGCATCAACAGGACCGTGGCTCCACGAGAATGATTGTTCTGACCTGACCTGACCTGACCTAACCTAACTTTCTTGCACTCTTCATAAACTGTCTTATGACCTCTTTACCTGTAAGTATAGTCGTGCCTGCTTGGGCGTGTTTCTTCGTATGCCCATCATGATAATTTCTTCCATACTTACACTGCAATGTCAGAACATTTATTACTCTCTGTAGAATGGTAATAGCCCTAAACTCGCCTTCTTTAACGAATTCTGTTATATGTTTGCAGTGTTGTTATTTGTGTTATTTGTGTCGGAAAATTCAGAGCAAGGGTGTTCAAAACGTGGTTCTGGTATAAAAGCACGATTTCTTGAATTGAGTTTCTTAAAGTTGTCTTAAGATTCTGAATGCCAGTTCATAAATAATGCTTAAATAAAAAAGGTTTTCTCGTGTAAAATACACTTCTTAAAAAGTTGAGTACATCCTTGTTGAAACAGTATGTAATTTTTGTTTAACCGTGTCTGTCCTTGTATGTGTATGTGTAAGAACACACGTAATTTTATCTTATACACCGAATCATTACGCATATGCTTATTAAATTCAGTTCAGTTTTACAACATCGAATGTATTCATATCTTATGAACCAGAATTAAAGTTCACGTAGTAAATAAGAATGATATTTTCAAAGTTATAAAAACACACACTGAAATTCATAAGAAGAAACCGAAATTGTACTATAGCCTCCAAATTTTCTATAGTATTGCAGTATTTTAATCGCCAATTTATTTGCTGTTTGTAAATAATCTCACAACACACAAAAATTAAAGTTACGCATAAACATAGGACTTGGTAAAATAATGTCAATGCCGATAAGCAAAGTTCTTCATATTTATACTTACTTCACAATTCAGCAAACATTCATGCATTCGTAGGTCGATCTGAACCTCTGAGCTAGTAAAGCGTAGACTTCCTGAATATGAAGCAGGAGTTTTAATAACTCCGCCGCGATGTTTGGTGGTGACATACTTGCTCTGAATGTAAAATATTACATTTTTGCTGTTATATATGTGTGTATGTGCTGTTTGGTTTTAAGAAAATTGTTATTGAATGTTTGTTACGAATATAATTTGTAATTAAATAAGCCAACTAATACAATTTCTAATTAAATGTACTGATTCTGTACATTTAATATTCGACATGGCTTCCAAAAATAATCACTCTTTATTTTAGTACTGACAAATTAGTAATGATATAGATGATCTAGTGTCACAGGTAACTTCGTGATTCACTCAGTTTTATGAAGAATTTCATAATTTGCCTTGCAGACACTTATGTACGCTTCCAGCGATACAAATACTGAATATCCTTTTAAGAGAAAGTGTCTAAGGTATGGACCAGTTTGTAAATTTCTCCTTATTCTTCAAATACTTAATAACTGTGTGATTACGCACAGTCCTCTAACGTTGTGAAAAACTTCGAGTCTGTAATACCAACATATTTTTTAATATCACGCATAATTAAAGCGTAACTTTACAACGATACCGTTACATTATATGTTAAAATTGTGCTAAATAAATAATACCATATGCATTCAGTTATCACTAATTTATTAAATGTAATGTGTATTGGTTCGATTCAGTACATTAACGCTTTTCTTTTTGTAATAAGACATTTGGGATTTATTACAGCAGTTATAGAATAAATCTTAAACATTTTTGATAAATATTCAATTCTCGGATACTCTGTAAAAAAATACCCACATTAAATTTATCAACACTGGACTGTCTCAAGGGAATATTAAAGTCATTCTGAGTACATAACACACACGTTTATGTATGTTTCATTATAAAAGTCTTTTTGTACTTCTAAATGACAATCTGATAAGTAATTCAATCAAATTAGTTTTTCTAGTGCCAGTTTTTTTTTTCTTCAGTAGTTGAAGCTAATTTTGCACAAATTAAAATTACGTGAAGATTTTTCTTAGTCACTCAAATTTTCTTCTTCAGAATTATGTACCGAGGACTATATCAGCTTCAGGTGACATTCTTCTTTCTTCCATGCAGTGTTCGTACCCCCATGTCTCTACTTATTTCTGTCTCTTAGTGTCTTCTTGCTCTACTTCTTTTTTTTTCTTTCGATCTCTCTTTGTAGGACAACAACAAAAAAGTCGACAAGAAATTCGAGAAACTTGATGATTTCCCTAGTGAGTTCGAATGTTGCTTTTGCACCTCGAAGGTAGTATTGCGTTTTCCCTCTTTATAAATATTATTTGTATCTTAGAAATAGATAAGTAGACGAAAGCATTCTTAGAATAGCGCACTGGTGTTTCACTCAACAATTTGACTTGACTGAATGAAGCCGTATGTATCAAAACGACTTAGAAGTGTGTACGAACTGGATAATACGACTGTGTGAAATATGGTTTAAATCCAAATTTGATCTGTAACATGCCAAAGAATTATTAAGAAAGCTAGAATGTTCAAAATTTGAATCCCATAAATATAATAAATCGCATACTCTTAAGAAGCAGTACTGTTAAATAGACCGATATATTTTCTAAAAATATCCACTGCGCTTCTGTGATTTCTTGATGATTTATTTTAACACATGTGACGTAAGTACTGTAACTTATGTTTAATTAATGTGATTTAACAAAATTAATATCTAAATTTAATATGCATGTGTTATTAGTATGAGTACATTCGAAATTTGTTTCGATGTTTGTTTGGGAGTTATTTTGTATGTTGTTGTATTACGTGGTTTTAACTCCATTTCTTGCCCTGTGCACTTTAGTTTGAAATTTGACATACTGAGGCAGTTGCGTGAAACACAATGTGTAAAACACTTCAGAAGATAACAGTGGAGCACTTTAGACTTGTATTTATATATGTAATTCTCTGCTGATATAGGTACGTTTCGAGTAACATGTCATGCGCTGTGGTTCTTCAGTTAAAATATCGTAATTAAGCACGATCCCAAAATTCAGAAATTATAATTACCGATTTGGAAGTTAAACTACCGAAAGGTGTTTCCGATAAATTTAAAAAATGCTTGTGTTCACAAAATTTATTTTATTAGGTTGTGTAATTATTACCATTTAGATATACCAACCAAGAAAGAAATGCTTTTTCTAGTGTCTAATTAAGTCTGAAAGTGGCATAAACTTGACATGCAATTATAAGAAATTAAGGCTGTTGACATGAATTTACTTTTGTTGTCTGATGATATTTAACGTAATTAAATTACATTGTGCTATATTTCACCGCCAATAAAATATTACATTATTCATAAATTCAAAAATAAATCGCTCCTAAAATTTAGGTAATCAGACTATAAAAAAAATTGTCTCTTAAGAGTGTGTCACATAAACATTTAATGTCAAGTTAAGTGAAAGTTTATCAGTGTAACTTTATGTGTACTGTACTGTCCTTTCCAATGTTCCAGGATTGCATGAGGATGCTATCAGTGCATGTTCTGTGCTGCATGTTCTGAATCTCTGTAGTACGGCAATTCAAATCCATGTATGTTATGTACTGTTTAAATTCTTTAGTCTTTCTTGACCTCACACAGATTCTGCAGCCATGTTCTTGACATGTACATAAACTCAGGAATGCTGCATGAATAGGCCTATCGCTTTAATCGTGCGGAGTGATACAAAGCCACCAACCTATTGTGTTCACTTCGTACGCGCTCCAATGAAAATCGTGACGTCACGTGGGAGCATTATTTATTCCTTTGGTATCCGATTAGAGAACTTTAAATTTTTCTCGCCTTTTTAGTTCCTTCGGCTGTGGGTCTAGAGTTTTTATTTTTTATGCGAGATTTGAGGTTCTCACTGCGGTCATTAAGTCCGTTTTATTCTTATGGGTTGTAACGCAATGTGGACTTCAAAGCGGATAAAAACGATTCCGAGGATAAGAGGGCATTTCTACCCAGAAGACCAACGTCGACATTAATTCTTTTGAGGCAGTTCGTCACGTTTTGGTTATATACGACTGTGTTATATACGATGCTTGGTGTTCTGCCTTTTGAAGTGAAATTTGGTAGTTTTACTGTCTACATCTTCAGGGCTGAAGCATCTACCGACCAGTCCACACAGCGCCAGAATCCAAAATAACATCATCTTCATCATGCTTATTGACGGTTGTACTGGAACACATTTCAGGGACGAAAGTTTTTATAAAATTGTCACGTATGGTCTCAGAACTTTTATGTCTAAGAACATTCAACACTGCACAAGTAAACTGGTTAAATTGTTTCAATATGTAACAGCATCTGGGACTTCTAGTTTAGCTGAATTCTTAGGATTCGGTGCCCCTAATATAAACGTTACGAAATCAAGGTATGTTTCAATTCGGCTTTCCAGGAGATTTCAGTTTTTTTTACAACTGGACGAAACAATTTTAAAATACATAACTCTGAAACGATAGACTAGTGTTTCTCTTAACTGTAACAAAGTTATTTCGTTGAAACTAATTACGCAGTTGATATTCAACGTATCTTTTAAAGTATGTCCGATGAAGCCAAGTCGAATTTGAAGGCCGTTTAGCCAAATACAATAGATACTGGCATCACGCTCCCAAGAATATCGAAGCACGTTTTGGCTCGTTTCCATTTTGTTGGGAGCGAGGTAGGCCTTACTTACACGTCACGTTTAATGTGTTAGTTTGTAAATACAGCTACTCAGAAACAGAACGAACTATTATTACTATGCATACAGAGCAGGCGCTTTCTTCTTTTCGAAAATTATTTGTTGGGTTTTCATAATAATTTCTCCCTATTTTCAGATTTAAATTTCTCGTACTTAAGATGTCTTAATTGTATTAATCTGCTGTTCTTTACTCACAATTTTCTTTCAGTTATTTAAGTGCTCCTTTTGGTAACTTTTGTCGCCTGTGAACATCCCACGGTCCAACTTAAACGGCTTTAGGTCCGAGCAGAGTTATGTGTTGAAATCCTTTTAGCGTTTCGATGACAATTACAGTTGTCTTCTTCACGGTAAATATCGTGGATAGGTGAAAGCAATATTCAGAGTAAATGGGTTGGAGGTAAAGTAAGTTAACAATTGTTTGTCGGCCTAGGAAGCCAATTGTCTGGGACTGGGGCTAGGAATAAAGACGGAGAGAAGAAATGCCACCCCTGTTAATGAGGAAACCAATGGAAATACTGAATTCTTGCACTACAGATCGTGCATTGTTTGAAGTAGGTACGGCCGTAACTTCAGCTGTTTATCACCGAATGAGCGTTAGTCACAGACAGACATTTCCTGCGTCCCGAAATGTCATCGTCAGTCTGTATTTTTGTCTTACTAGATTCTGCCTTGTCAGGATACGAATTGTTAAATGCTTCACCTAAAGAAACAAACGATTTCCATGCAAATTATTTTTCGAGAATAAACACTCGTTCTGCTGGGGTGAATAAACCATGTTCGCAGCTGCAGTTATTTTGCGCAACTGGCTTAAGCAGCGGCCTAGCTACCAGGGCGACCTTGACCTGAGTGTGATACGGGGGTGTACATGTTTCTGTGCAAAAAGAATGCGTTCAATCAAATATTTGTTTATATTTCTGAACGCGCTACAGTGTTGGAAGAACAAGTGATAATAGTTAATTATGATGGAAAATTAATTCATACTACAATTAATACATAATATAAAATTCGAATGTACTTTGTTTTTGTATCTAGCATCCCCAGGTTGAGTGTGATTGAAAATGCAAATGTTTCACTTTGCACTTCAAAAAATTCATGTTACTTGTATTTTAGTGTGTTTACTGTTAATAAATAAGTTTCAGTTATGCACACATCGAGCTAAAATATTTATGTACACATTTTCTTAAATATTATTTTATGTAAATTTCAATGAAAACGTTTAATATAATATTATAAACACAGGTATTTCCGATCGCTGCAAATGTTCAGTTCAGAAGTGGAATGAAGTAATAGCAACGTTTTCCTTCTTTGTTCTATTTTGAACGTGCTTCAGCGCCTTGTTTGACTTTTTCTACTTGCTTCACTGCCACTTCGTGTCTGTACTTCTCAATACGCCATCTCAAAGAGAAGTGAACCTTAATGTTCACAGTATTGTTTTCATGAAATGGTCTACAAGCAATGCATACGCTGTTAAAGACTGTGGTAAGCATAACCAGTCATACGAATACATAAGAAAGTCAACAGATTTGTTAATATCAGTTCGTATCTTGTTAAGGAAGTAAATATGGTATCCATCGATAAGATCAGTTTAAGAATCAAATTTGTTATATAACTGAAGTAAAGTAATACAGCTCCATCAGTTACCTACCTACCTAACTAACTAACTCCATGGTGCAGAATCCCTCTTGAGAATCTAATAATACACCCAGCTAATCGGAAACATTGCTTTACACTAAAACAACACTACTAGTGAGGTTTAATCAACATTTGCACTCACCACCAATATTTTGTGTTTCGTCACACAACGAATCAATTTAAAAACAATCTACAGCTAAAAACTGCATATTCATTTACATCTAGTCTAGAAAGCAACAGTGGATGAGAAATATTCTTCTCACTCTTAGTACTTTGATAACAGCATTGTTTATCGCTGTCTTACGACTTAACTTGGAGCTTCGGGTAATTAACTACTGCTTATTGTGAAATGTGTTCTCTGATATTTTTATGACTGATGTTATCTTCCCACGGTTTAAGTTTGCCATCTTGTAAGAATCTTGTGACCATCCATCCACTCGCTTCACAGCATGTCTCGTCATGTGTCAACACATATTCTGTCACAAACATTTGCTTAAGCAAGTACGATCACCATTACACTCGCCATGTCTTTCCAGAAATCTCAATATGATACAGATACAAGACAAGTGCACATGAACCGATAGTAATGTGTTGCTGTCCAGGTACATACGCGGGTTCCAGAATCTTATGGTATTTTCACAATTCAAATTACGAAATGCGCTCGACAGTTTATCATAAATACAAATTATTTCCGAACTCTGCACCCAGTAAGCCCAGAGCGTACGTGAATATCTTACAAAGAAGACTTGGCCTTGTCTTCATATTCGCTCCCATCAGTTGAAAATATACAAAGTATTTAGTGGCAGCGAGTAAGTACTAAAATACATTATAACCCTCTCTCCTAATTTGGTTACGAATAGCTTCCAGTATTGGCTTATTACTTCGATGATGCAAATTTGGAATTTACATGTCTACACTGAATACTAGAACTTATCATCAGTGTAGGACATTA